GCACTTTTCTAGCTCTTCTGGGAGCCGAGATACGCGCGATTTTGAATTTGGAGGCGAGAGGAGACGCAGACAGTTAGACGGTCTAGCTGTCTGCGTCTCTCGCGCGCGCTTCAAATTTGAAAATGAGCGTATCTCGGCTCCCAGAAGAGCTAGAAAAATGCATCAAGAGACAAATATAAATTAAATTTTACGAGGAATCCGAATATCTAGTTTTTGAAATCATACTTTGAAAAATAGAATGCGCGAGAGGAGACGCAGACAGCTAGACGGTCTCGCTGTCTGCGTCTCTCATCTCTCTCTTTCTCACGTTCTCTCTTCTTATTTTTCGTATTCCTACTCGTAAAAACGCTAGCTGAACGATCGAGGCAGCGAGGATGAGACGCAGACGACTAGACACTCTGGCTGTCTGGAAGAGTGAGAGAGCGCAGACAGCTAGACAGTCTGACTCTCTGCGTCTCTCTTTTTCAAAAATGCGCGTATCTCAGCTCTCAGAAAAACTAGGAGAACGCTTCAAGAGTATAAAACATGTGTTACTTTCAGAGAAATTCAGTGCGAGAAGAGACGCAGACAGCTAGACAGTCTGCCTCTCTGCGTCTCTCGCCCGCCCCAAAATCAAAAATGCGCGTATCTCAGCTGTCAGACGAGCTAGAAAAAAACTCCAAGAGAATAAAATGTGTAGAATTTCATGGGGAATCTTATAGAAGTATTTATTCCTTCCGAAAAAAAAAATTCAAACATTTTTCGTACTCGTCACCGAGGACACCATCACACTACTAATCGATTCCTTCTTTCTTAGGCCTTCAATCCTCAAACATTTCTTCACAAATACCCGATAAGGGGTATGAACCAACAACATCAGCACCGTCGATAATAATCCATAGGCGGAGAAAGTGATAAACGCGAAATTGTTCCCAAATTGTGCATAGAATCCGAAAAACCACTCGAAAAAAACCCAGGCCAGTGGGGCGCCCATCGTCATCAGGGGGATGAAAATTTGGAGGAGGAGAGCATGGAAAAACTGCTTTTGGATCCGGAGGGTCCGCCCCGAAAGGCGGGACTCGTGGAGTTTCAAGGCGCATGTGATACGGTAGGAAAAGTAAAGGGTCTGGATGTTCTGGATGTTGATGAAAATTAGGAGGGAGATTATTGTGGTTTGAAGGTTCTCGGCCATGATAAAGAATGGGAGTTGATGGAGGTGAGCAGGGAGGCAGGGAAGGTTCTGGAAGTGGTGGACATCGGGATGTGGGGATGGATAGATGGACAGTTGGACGAACAGACAGGCAGACAGACAGACAGATGGACAGACAGACAGACAAACAGGCATTATTGACAAACAGACAGATAGACAGACAGACAGACAGCCAGACAGACAGACAGATGGACAAACGTACAGACATACAGCTGGACAAACAGAGTACAGACGGACATATTCCACATCCAGACATCTGGCCATTCAGATATACAAACAGACAGACAGACAGACAGACAGACAGACAGACAGACAGACAGACAGACAGACAGACAGACAGACAGACAGACAGACAGACAGACAGACAGACAGGCAAACAGACAGACAGACAGACAGATGAGCAGACAATCAAACTTCGGCTAGTGGACATCCGGACATCGGGACAAACAGAGTACAGACGGACATATTCCACATCCAGACATCTGGCCATTCAGATATACAAACAGACAGACAGACAACTGGACATCCAGACATACAGGAAAACGGATAGACATCGGGACATACATCTAGACAGATAGACAGACGGACAGACAGACAGACATACAGACAGACAGACATACAGGCAGACAGACAGACATACAGGCAGACAGACAGACAGAAAGACAGACAAAAAGATAGTTTTACATCCGGACGTACAGACAAACAGACAGACAGACCGTCTAGGCACCTGGACCTATAAGCACACAGATCAAAAAATCAAACTTTGGCTATTGGACATCCAGACACCCCGGAACACAGATAGACAAACAGGGTGACATCCGGACATCCTACAGACCATCGGATGGACATCGGGACAAACAGAGTACGGACAGACACATACGGACATCTCGCCATCCAGATATGCAGACAGACATCCAGACCTCCCGGACACACAGACAGACATACCTCAAAAACCACTTCTTTTGCCTTATCCTGATCCTCTGGAATCGTCAAATAAATGGGTAAAATAGCCAATATTGCTCCAATATATCCGGAAAAAAACCATGGTTTCCTAATTTTGCTCCATAATCCTTTGGAGTCTGTGAGAACAAAAAAGCGATTTTCCAGAACGGTTAGGATGGCGAAGAAGGTGACTGAAAAAGGACAATTGGAGGAGGTTACAACTATCTGGACATCTGGAATGACATACAGACAGACAGACAGACAGACAGAGCGACATCCAGACATCCGGACAGACATCCGGACATCCAGATATACAGACAGACATTCCGGTGTCCGGACAGACAGACATCCAGACATCCAGATATACAGACAGACATCCCGGTGTCCGGACAGACAGACAGACATCCAGACTACCTTCCAGATATTTGGACACACATACAGACATCGGGATATACGGACGTGCAGACAGACAGATGGACATCCAGATATCTGAAGACACTTACTGACAGACAGGGAGACTACCGGACATCCGGATACTAGGATATACAGACCGACAAGGAATATTCGAATAACTGGAAGCGCAGACAAACATCCGGACATCCAGACACATTATACATGTGGAGACCTGGATATCCGGATCCACAGACAGACATCCGGACATCTAGATTTACAGACAGACATCTAGGCATTCAGACACCTAGACGTCCGGACACACTGAGAGATATCCTGGTATTCGGACACACAGCTAGACATCCGGATATCCGGACGTACAAACAGACAAAGAGCATCCGGATATCTGGACATGCAGACAGACAGAAGCGACATCTGGACATCCAGATATACAGACAGACATCCGGACATCCAGATATACAGACAGACATCCGGGCATCCAGATATACAGACAGACATCCGGACATCCAGATATACAGACAGACATCCGGACATCCAGATATACAGACATACATTCGGACATCCAGATATGCAGACAGACACCCGGACATCCTGATATGCAGACAGACATCCGGACATCCAGATATACAGACAGACATCCGGACACCGATCCACACAGACAGACACACTCACCTTCCCCTGTAACCAAAATCAAGCAAATCTGTACCCCTCCATCCACCCCCATTCCTTCCAACACTCCCATTGGAGCAATGGCAAACTCCGGAGCCAACAAATAGGGTCCTACAAGGACACTGACCACCAAATCCAGGACCAAAGTGGAAAAATGGAAATTGATCATGGTAAATTTCACAGATTTCATCGATTCCGGGGTCTTGAAGAGGATACAGTAGGCACCGAACAGGTGGAGAGGGATGGCCAGACATCCGGATATATGGAGACACAGAGAATTGAATTCAGGGGCGTCCAGGTAGGAGAATTCGGGGGAAGTGCAGTAAGGCATATTTGCACTGTAAGGATGGGTCGAGCGGGAATTCGATTTTTCGAAAATTTGAAAAATTCGAAAATTGCTCAGAATAAAAATTTTCAGAAAAATTTTTTTTCGACAATTTTTGATTATTCTGAGCAAGAGCAAGAAATTTAAGAACATATAATTTTATGTGAGTGGTCTCTGGTGTGCATGTTTAGCTGCAATTTCATATGCAAATTGAATGATTTTTGATTTTTTTTTTCTAGGAAATTTGATTTCCTCGGAAAAATAGAAATATAATTAGGCTTTTGATTTTTATTCGAAAAAAAATTTTGGTGTATCCAGGCCATTTTTTTAGAGATCATGCGCCTTTAAGGCAAAAAATAAAATTTCTGAGAACCTAGTCATGATTATATTCATTCAAACGTGTTTGACGTCCTGATTCCAAAAATGTCAATTTCATTGCGTTTGGAGAAAAATTGGCCGAGATACGGTAGTTTCAAGGCGCATGCGCGAAATCGAAAATTTTCGAAAACTAGCCATGATTATACTCATTCGAACCGTCTTAACGCGCTGATTCTGAAAATATCACTTTCATTGAGATGGGCCCGAAACTGACTGAGTTACGGCCATCTTGAGGTCTATACGCCTTTAAGGTCAAAAATCGAAAATTTTCGAAACTTAATCATGATTATACTCATTCTGACCGTCCTGACGAGCTGATTCCAAAAATTTTAATTTCATTGAGTTTGGAGGAAAATTGGCCGAGATACGGTAGTTTCAGACTCCATGCGCCTTTAAGGTAAAAATCAAAACTTTTCTAAACCTAGTCATGATTATACTCATTCGAACCGTCTTGATGAGCAGATTCTGAAAATATTAATTTCATTGAGATTGGACCAAAACTAACCGAGATACGGTAGTTTAAAGGTGCATGTACCTTCAATTCGAAACTCAAACTCCCAAAAAAAAAAACTAGAATTTCTCATTTATCTCTGCGTCTCTCCCTAGTACTCATTCTCTCGCGAACAGCAAAATTACCATAAAGTGTCAGGTTGAAAAATAATCTCCCCCGAAATATGCAAATTTGATAATGGGAAGAACTTTTTTTTCTTTTTTTTCCGGACGGGTTCATAGAGAAAAAAATGAGGTTAGAACAATATTTCAGGCTATTACTTTTGCTTTTCCTGGTTTTTGGTGAGTTTTTGCTTTTTAAAAAAGTTGTTTTTGGCCGTCTCAGCCCACTGAGCCATCTTCCTCTTTTATTTTTAGGAAAAACAAAAAAAAAAACAAAAAGTTTTGCCACCAGGGGGATTGAACTTGGGTTTTGTGGGTGGTAGGCAACCTTCTAACCTACTGAGCCATCATTAGAAAAAAAAAACAAAAAAAAACAAAAACATTTGCCACCAGGGGGATCGAACTTGGGTCTTGTGGGTGATAGGCAACCCTTTAACCCACTGAGCCATCATTAGAAAAAAAAACAAAAACATTTGCCACTAGGGGGAATCGAACCCGGGACCTGTCTGATGAAAGTCAAAACTATTACCAGTTGAGCCATAGCGGCAACTGGCGCGCGAGAAGTGGAGGGCGTAGAGGAGGCCGGGGAGAGGGGCGCCCAGGGTGGTCCCTTCGAGGAGGCGACGTGGGTGAACCTCTGAAGGGTACCTGTGGCCTAGTGGTCCCAACCAGTTCCAGTTTGACCAGATAGGTTGTTGGTTCAATTCCGAGTGGGTCCCAATATTTTTTCTTTTTTTCTATTGCTGACAAACATGTTCCCCGGTATAAATTCACAACTTTCAACTGATAAAATTCAAACATTTCGTAGTAAAATTGAGTAAAACAGTCAATTCGTTGTATGTAAACATTATCTTGACCGCATACTCAATCGAACAAACATAAACGTAGTTTGGAAATCGTAAGAGTACTGATAAGACAAGTGCATGTAGAGTGTTTCTTATCAATTTTTCCTTCCTCCCTTCTTCGTTGGAGGTTTACCACTACCAAATTTTACAAGGTCTTAAAGATTCTGGAATATATAAATGAAGGTTTCGCATCAAGCTAGGCTTTTAGTTTTGGTTTTTTTGGCTGTTGGTGAGTCCAACCGAAAAAAATTTACAAATTTTTTCGGACTTATTGTTTCTTAATATTGATTTTCTGTGTTGTTGGTGAGTAATAGCGTGCGCCTTTAAGGTAGCACGTCTGAAAAGGTCCGAAAAAAATTTCGTAGAAAAGCCTGAAAAATGACCTAGAACCATATAAAATTGCCCAGAAACCCCTGGAAATGGCCTAGAAACCCTTGAAAATGGCCTAGAAAAACCTGAAAAATGGTCTGAAAAAACCTGAAAATGGCCTAGAAACCTCTAGAAAAGGGCCTGAATTGATATTTTTCAGGATTTATTTACGTCTGTCTGTACATGGAAAATGTGAAATATCGGTGAGTGGTATAAGAAGTCCGGGCGGTGAGAAAAACATCTGGACATCCTGAAACACAGACAGAAATCCGAAAATTTTCAGAGCTCCCGCTACCCCGGTCCAAAAAAGCAATGAAAAGTACCTGTCTTTCCAGTTGGATCCAATTTCTCGTCTAGGTAAGTCCACTCGGCAAAAATGGACTAGAAATGTCTGAAAATGGCCTGAAAACCCGGAAATTCTGCCTGGATAACGTTAAAATGGCCTAAAAAGCCTAAAAATGGCCTGAAAACCTAAAAACGGCACAAACACTCCGCATTTTTTGCAGGAAATCACCTATTCGAGTTGTCATCTCTTCTTGGTATAGCTCGCAGTTTGAAACGAATCCCAATAATTTATACGGAGAATAAGCACTATGAGAAAATGATAAATGATTCGAGGAAGGCGATGCCGGGGTTGATGGGCAAGTTTGTGATTGTTAATGGGACGGTGAGTATTTTGAAGGCGCATCGTTGCCAAATACTCAAGTGCTATTGGGGGATCAAGTGCTATTTTGGCTCAAATTCTATGACTTATATCTTACGCTATAGCACATGTCAAAAAAAAAACACTTGAGAAAAAATAGCACTTGAGAAATAAAAGTAGCACTTGAGAAAAAATAGCATTTGAGAAAAAAAATAGCACTTGAGGGAAAAATAGCACTTAAGAAAAAAATAGCACTTGATCACCTCATAGCACTTGAGTATCCACCTCCCTCAACGATGAGACAAACTTTCTGCATTTCCGCGTAACATCCGGTGTTTGCGTACTTGGCATCAGATATGACGACGATTCCAAACAATTTTTCAGTTACCCTCCGCCTATCAAAAAGTGACATTCAACCCGAGATGTTGTGTATTTGTGAATCCGTCGGTGCTGGCAGCCATCGATTATAAGTTTCTGCATCTAACTGGACAGTATTATCAGGTAGGTACAGACAGACATACAGACAGACATACGGACATACGGACGCACAGACAGATATATCAAACCCAAATTCGATGTGTAGGTTGTCGTGTTTGTCTGTCTGTCCGTTTGTCCGAATTTCCGGATATCTGTTTGCCTGGCACTTAGCTTTTTACATCCGGACATACGGAGGGACAGACAGACAAACCGAGAGATCTATTGACAGACAGACAGACGAACACACAGACAGATGTATAAAACCCGAATTTGATGTCTAGGTTGTCGTGTCTGTCTGTCTGTTTGCTTCTCCGGATGTCTGTCCGGATGTCCAAATATCCAGATGTCCGGATGTCTAAAAATCCAGATGTCCGGATGTCCAAATATCCAGATGTCCAAAAATCCAGATGTCCGGATGTCCAAATATCCAGATGTCCGGATGTCCAAATATCCAGATGTCCGGATGTCCAAATATCCAGATGTCCGGATGTCCAAATATCCAGATGTCCGGATGTCCGAAAATCCAGATGTCCGGATGTCCAAATATGCAGTTGTCCGAATGTCTGTCCAGATTTCCGTGTTTCTGTCTGTCCGTTTGTCTGTGTGTCCAGGTATACGAATGTCCGGATGTATGCATGTCTGTCTGTCTGTCTGTCTGTCCGTCCGCCTGTTTGCTTGTCCGGATGTCCGGATGTCTGTCTGTCTGTCCGGTTATCCGGATAATGTATTTTTTTCCAAACTTCCAGAGTTACAAATACTTTCATCAGTATCGAAACGAGATAATTGGATTTTTACCCAAGCCGGCTCAGAATTTCAAAGTATTACCCAAGAAGAATGTGTAAGTGGTGGCCTAGAAACCCCTGAAAATTGGCATAAAAATCCCAAAAATGGCCTAGAAACCTTGAAAAACGGCCTAGAAAAGCCTGAAACGGCCGAAAAATCCAAATTTTCAGACTCTGCGCCCATATTCGAAAGGGTGATTTCCTATCAAATGACTTCGCGGCGACGGATGAGAAATTTCTGAAAAATGCACTGAAATATGTTCAAGGAAAAGAAAAAATGAAGAAATCCAATATTGTGATTTTTGGGGACGATCTGAAATTTATGAGGAATTTGTTCAATGATACAGTGCTTTCAAATCAGGTAGGTGGACATCTGGATGTGCAGACGGACAGATGGACAGATAGATGGACAGACAGGCAGATAGACTGACAGACAGACAGACAGACAGACAGACAGACAGACAGACAGACAGACAGACAGACAGACAGACAGACAGACAGACAGACAGACAGACAGACAGACACACATACAGACAGACAGGCAGACAGACAGACAGACACACATACAGACAGATCATTCTCTAGGACATCCGAGCATTCAGAAGGACTGACAGACGGTTGAACAGACAAACAGACCGACAGACATCCGGATATCCCGACAGACAGAAAATTGGGCGCCTGGACATCTGGACATCCGTACACACAGACCATCTGACAGACGCAAAAATAGAGACATCCGGACGAATTGACATCTGGATACATGAATGTCTGGACATCCAGACAGACAGACAGACAGACAGACAGACAGACAGACAGACAGACAGACAGACAGACAGACAGACAGACGGGCAGGCACAAACACAGACAGGTGTACATACAGACAGACACACGGGCACCTCCCGACCTAAAGTTTCTGGACATCCAGACATTCGGACACACAGACCGGCATTTTTCTTGTTTCAGAATCTCACCTCTACCCCCAGTTCTATCCATTTTGTGTCTCAAAATAGTCCATCCGAGGATCTGATTTATTCGAAAAAGCACTGTGACTTGGTTTTGATTAGTGGTGAGTTATGGACATCCGGACAAACATACACACAGACAGACACTATTTTCTTGCAGCACCCCATTCAACATTCGGCTGGTGGATGGGATATGTTTCGAAGGGGAATAAAGTGTACTATATGGATATTAGGCTGACCAAGGATCGAGTTTATGTGAGTTGACGCATTTATCGTGACTTGACGCATTTCTCGTGTCTTGGCGCGTTTTTTGTGCATTGACGCATTTTCGGTGTCTTGACGCATTTCTCGTGCCTTGGCGTGTTTTTCGTGCATTGGCGCATTTCTCGTGCCTTTACGCATTTTCAGTGCTTTGGCGCGTTTCTCGTGTCTTTGCGCATTTCTCGTACCTGACGCATTTCTCGTGCTCTGACGCACTTTTCTTGTTTTTATGCATTTCAACGACTTTTTTTTCAGAAAAAAGGAAATCTCCACCCAGCTGATTACTACCTTCCCCACTGGACCTCACTGAGGTTAACAGAGGATAATCGGACCATTGTTGAGAGTTGATTCTTGTTATGATTTTATGTGATTGATTTTCGATATTTGGGTAATTTTTGTTGCGGGTTTTAAGAAAATAAATATTCAAAAATATTTGACTCAATAGTCCTCGATTTCAGGCCTAAAACCCTCAGACCCTCAGTTCTCCCTTTTGTCGACTACCGTCCCTCTATCCACAGGAGAGGGGTCAATGCATGTGCGCTCCACTGCACACCTCCTCGTTTTTCCGCCATTCCCTCTCCTCGAGAAGACAAACACATTTCATTCATTCATTCATTCTCTCTGGCTGCCCGACTAGCATGGCCTACCCCGTCTTTATTGATTTTTTCTAGTTTTTTTTACTGCTATTCTGCTCAGTTCAAATGCTCCAAATGCTCCAAATGCTCAAGGTAAGTGACCACAACCCACCTCCTCCACAAAAACTCCCGGCAAATTTTTAGAATTTTTGAATTCCCACCAAAATTTTGGGATTTATGAATTCCCACCAAAATTTTCAGAAGAGCTGCTGCTCATATTCCAAACAGAGTGGCCTTCTTCCGTATATCCGCTCTATTGCTGCTGGACCGTCATCTGGAGTGCAAAAATCTCAGACAAGCGTTCCGGGCCAGAATGCACACTGACATTGGAGTAGCGCTCAAGGTTTTCGACCAAAACGATTCTACTGCATTCACTTCTCAAGACATCCCATCAATGTTGGAGCTTCTAAGAGCGACATCGTGACCATGGATGTCTTCATGGACAAACTTCAAGACCGTTATGAGGATTATCTCCTCATCAAGGATCAACAGTTGAGATTTCAAAATCTGAGCAACAATGCTCATTCTATAGATGAAATCCTTGGCTGTGTCGTAATTTCGAAATTGAAGTGA